TTAGGTAGCAGTGCCAAAATGAGCGTGGAAACACAGAGAAGGGTAAGCAAGGTTTGGTGCATGATGGGACTTACTGCTGGTGAGGTGCGAGGAGGCGGGCAAAGGGGAGGGGGAGGGGGAGGGGGCGGGGAAGGGGGTGCAGGAGGAGGAGGAGGAGGAGGTGGAGGGGGATTTGGGGGAGGAGGAGGTGGAGGGGATGTCAGAGAGGTAGAAGACACCATCATGGGGGGTGACGGGATCTTGGATGCGACATGACAGTGCTTTGGGTTGGAGGTCCCAGGCGAGTAGTGAGAGGCATGCGAAGAAGGCGCAAGCAGCTGCTTTTTCTTCTGCCCGGCGATCTTCTGCTTCAGTGCCGTTTGCCATGCTTGCGAGCTAACAAGTGTGTCAAATGGTGGTCGCGTAAGGCATCTTGCTTGCTGGGCGCTGCTGGCTGCTGCTTGCCGATATTAGTCATGTGTACTTGACGCAAGTGTTGGCGTGGAAGTGTGGATTATACCAGTTCCTCGGACTCCATCGGGTCATCGACGTAGTACATGTCCACGAAGAAATCTATGCTGCTGGTCTGCTGCTGTGCACCGCTCTCCAAATTCCCGATCGCTCGATTGAGCAAGTCACTCCAGATTGTAAGCTCGAAATAGGACGCAGTGATGCCCTGCTACAGTGCCCACTCCCAATTATATCCTTTGGAGAAGGCCTGCAAGGTTGCTGTCGTTGTCTCACAAGAGCTGAAAAGTACCTGCTGCGCCTTGGGGTGCCAGTTGCTCTTCGTTCCATCGGTGGGATTGACTCTGCTGGGCCTGTATTACACCTACTATCTGGGATCCATCCATCCAACCTTTCCAAAACGTGCCTGCTGCCGTCCCGGCCCTTGCTTCATTCCGACAAGACAGCAGTTTGAGATCCGTTATTTGTCTGTTGCTTACGAGATCTGTTATCTGTTGCTTACTACTTGTCGTTGACGTCTTATAAAAAAAAACGGGGCTACCTATGGGTCTCTTACCATGGGAAAAGGAAAAAAAAAAAGGGGGGGGGGGGGGGGGGGGGGGGAAAAAAAAAAAAAAAAAAAAAAAAAAAAAAAAAAAAAAAAAGGGGGGGGGGGGGGGGAGGGGGAGGAGAACGAAAAAAAGAAAAAAGAAAAAAGAAAAAAAGAAGAAAGGAAAAAAAAAAGGAAAAAAAGGGGGAGAGAAAAAAGCAGGAAACAAGGGGAATTTGGGGGAATCCTCTGGGGCGAAACCATGTGCAGAGTAATCAGTGTGTCGTGCTTTGCCCCGGGTCCTACTCGTGCAAAGTGCGCTCCTGCTTCGTTACCTTTTGTGCATTCGTCATGACCCTGTACTGGTTGTCCGTACAGGGGCTCGAGCCCAGCTTCCCTTCAGCGAGGGGTAGTGTGCTTTATTGTCTGCTATTACTCCCACGTTCGAGTGTGCTCGTCACAATCCTGCACTGATTGTTCCTACAGAGGTTCGAGCCCAGGGGCCAAGTCCCACTGGCAGCGTTGAGCTACCTCAACGCCTGAATCTGGACGTGTTTGTGGAGACGTGCAGTTCAGGAAACTCAACACCATTTCTGCACATCTCCGCAAAAGCGTCCAGATTCCGGCGTTGAGGTAGCTCAACGCTGCTGGTGGGACTTGGCCCCAGCTTCTCCTTGGCAAGGCGTGCTGCTGGTCTTACGGAAAAAATTGGGTGTTTTATTTTATTTTTCTGTTGAAAAAAAGAAAGAGAAGGAAAGAACAGAACGAAAAAAAGAAGAAAAGAGAAACAGAAAAATATGTGGCAGAGGGATTCGGTGTCGAATCTTTATGATCCAAAAAATCGGGAAGATGGGCGGTTCATTCTCCTCCTGCTGAGGTGCACCAGTGGTGCTCCTGTTTCGCAGGTGGTATCGTTCGTCATTCTCCAGCCTGGCTTCACAGGGTGACGGGATCAGGTTCCATCAAGGCAATGGATCCTCGACCCTCCATTATTCGCAGAAAATTCTCAGAATTTAAAAGTTATTGATGCGCAGAAAAAATACAGAACAATTCTCTCGGTGAGGGGTTCACTGCTTCCCTCCCTTGGTAAAAAGTCATCCCGCCTTCTTACCTTTGCCACCTTCAACTCCTGCTCGTCCTTTGTCCGCTGAACAACCCCTGTACGTGTGTGTGTGTGTGTGTGTGTGTGTGTGTGTGTGTTTGTGTGTGTGTGTGTGTGTGTGGGTGTGTGTGTGTGAGAGAGAGAGAGAGAGAGAGAGAGAGAGAGAGAGAGAGAGAGAGAGAGAGAGAGAGAGTTCATTGAACAGGTCCTTATGGTCCTGACTCCATGTTCATTCTGGGGAGCATCAGTCGGGTTGCTATCCATCTGCAAGATGAATGAGAAGTACACAGAACAACTCACTCAACGCTTCGCTATCGCCGAGGACGAAGGAATCCGTCCCAAGGCTTTGGAGAATACCGCCCAGCCTGTCCAAACAGAGAAGGACTCAGGCACATGTAAAACAACTCTTAGAGATGGACAGAAGGAAGTGACTGGAAGAGAAAAAAGACAAATGGGAAGAGCTGGAGGATGAACGCGAAAGGAACTCGTTAAGCCACCAGTACGTTTCCCAGCCATTTTTCACCGACAGGGCGTGCGTTCGGCCAGACATTTCGGGGGTTGGCCTACTGGAGCAAAATGGCTGGCTACGCCAGCCAAAAGAACCCACGCCAATTCTGTTTTTTTTTGTTTTTTTTTTTCCCGGCGCTCAGTGCATTTTGAGGCGCAGCAAGGGAAGGGTCAGAAATACTGGTGGTTTCATCACCGACTCTTTTTTTTTTTGTCTGAATCGTTGGAAGGTGACTAGGGAGGGTGTGCTCTCTGAGATCAGGAAGGGGTAGTGAACAGGGGTTAAGAAGGAAAGGACAACCACCAACAGACCAGCAAAGAGGGAAATCGGAACAGACCAAGGGACCTATGGATGCTTGGGGCATTTAAAAAATTTGCCGAATTCTAGAAAGACACTCTGACCAAAGGACCTACGGATGCTTGGGGCATTCAAGTACAGCCTTTGCATTCAAATACATGCTTGGGGCATTCAAATACAGCTTTCACATTCAAATGCATGCTTGGGGCATTCAAATACAGCCTTCGCATGAGAATGTATAGAATACCCATGTCAGAGTGTCTGACAATAAGACCCTCCAACTAAGGTTCAGCAAGGTTGGCAGTCCATCCTTCCTAAAATGGGTTTATAGTATATACTAAATAGTAAATACTAGATACTAGATACTAAATAGAAAATAAAGCAGAGCAACGAAAATGATGCCCAGGGTTCTGAATTCCATTCCTTCAGCGAGACCGGCGGTCCATCCTTCCTAACATGGGCAGACTTTATTTTTTCTTCAACAGTGTGCAGTGATTTATTCACCTGGCAGGGACGTGAACGGTGAACCAGACTGACCCTTCCTGGAAATGGAAAGAAGCATCAACCATAAGGTCGATTTGCGTAAAAGAACGAGAAGAAAAAAGGAGGGTCCCCGTTCTTGTAGTGGCACCACATGGCTTTGGGTTTTTGCCACTTTGTGCACGAAGCAAAATGATTTATATTTGGCAAGGGCCATTTTGAGGTAGAATTGTCAATGGAAGTGAGATGACACTTGGGTTGGGTTGGGTTGGGTTGGGTTGGAGGAGCACACCTTGATGGTAGCTGTGAGTTGGTCGCGCTCCTGCCGCGCCATATCAAGAGACTCGTTCAGGAGGGCCTGAGCAGTGATCAAGAAAAGGAATGGCAGATTGGCAATACAAATAAAAAGGAATTCAAGGAAGGTCAAATCTGAAAAAAAAGAAGAAGACAGAAGAATAAATGAGACCAAAAAAAAAAAAAAAAAAAAAAAA